CTGGCAGCAATGCAAAGCAGTACACTTTGGCAATTCACATAAAAGTCTTTAAAATGTATATACCCTTTTCCCCAGAGGAATTTATTCTAAGGTAACAAGCAAGGATATAAAATAGATTTAGCCTCAGAAATGCTTGGCATAGCACTATTTGTAATTGTAAATGTTGATGACATCATAAATGTCCAAAAAAAAAAGAAACTGATTACATAAACAATTATTCCTAGACAATGGAACATCATCGTTGTTAATATGACATTGTATAAAATCAGTGAAGGAAAACATTAATAGATGCAGCTACATAAAAGCATAAAATTTCTGGCCTGAAATGAGAGACTATAAAATAACTAGCCAGAAGTCTAGAGTTTCTTGGTCATGAAAAGCAAAGAAAGACTGAAAAGCTGTTTCACATTAAGAGACAAGGAGATCTGACAACAAAAAACCATGTGTGACCCTAAAGCAGAAAAAAGCCATTAGTGGGACAACTGGCAAAATTTGAATAAGATCTATAGATTATAGTATTGTTATCAATGATAATTTCATGAGGTTGATAACTGTGCCATGGTTATGTAAGATGTTCGCATTTGGAAAATCCAGGTGAAGGACTGTAGAAGATCTTTGAACTATTTTTGAAACTTTTCTGTATGTCTAAAATTATTTCAAGATGAGAAGGAAATAATTCTTTTTAAACTTCTATACAACCAAAAAAATCCTAAAACAAAAATATCAACAAAGACAAGATAGCAAATAGAAAAAAAATATGAGATACATGTGACATGTAACGGCTATATCTTCAATTGTTAAAAACCATCTACCATAATAATGCACAAAATAGCTACTTTATCAAAGTTAGCTGAAGCAACCTCTGGGGAATTTAGTGTTTCAAAGTTCAGGATGTATATATTATGCAAATTTGACAAACTGCATAATTTAAGTGTGAATTTCCATATGGTTCAAGATAAATTAGAGTAATTTTTAAAAATCACAACTCTACATAGGCTCCTATTTTTCACCTCTTCCAAGTCATAACAAATTCCTACACTTTGGAACCTACATCTTTTACTTGTCGTAGCTTATTTATTCATTCAGCATATATTCATGGAGCCTCTACTTTGACTAAGGCCCTATGCTAGGAGCTTGAGAAACAACGGTGAACCTTCCTTAATCTGGAAGTTCACAATTTAGAAGGAACAGAATCAAGTGAAATCCACAATGGTAACCAAAGGAGAAAGGGCCATGACACAGCGAGTAAGCAAGTGTTATAGAAGTAAACCTATTTAAATTCCCTGGTTTAGTATTTAGGTATTGCTTGTTTTTCCTGCATAAGTGAGTCAGAATTCACATTAGGTCTTAGACTATACACTACTAGTTGGCTGCAACTGAGTCTATGATGTCCTCCAAGCACAGCTAAAGAAAATAAGGAGCTGGGCTCTATGAACACTACTTGGGTTACAGGTACACCTATAGCCAGGACTCAAGCATTACAAAAACGATCCATGTAAAACATTTGTACCCCCTTAATAATTTGAAATAAAAAAAAAGGAAAAGAAAATAAGGAGCTGCTCAAAATGAGCTCCTCCCTGAGTCTTAAAAGTGATGAGCCTCTCAATTTTCCTTCGCATTCTTACCCGTCTTTGCATGGTTTAATTCTTAGGATAAACTAAAATAACCAAGAGAAATGTGGACTGTGTTTCTATTTAGGTAACACATTGAATCAAATGCTTCCGTAGGTCATGGTTTTGGAATGATACTGATGTAGTCTTGACAAGCATGTCAATATTTCTCTGCTAGATAAATGGCAGACCAAAAAAAGAACATGGCCTAGGGGATAGGAACAGAAGCAGAATTCCCCCACCCCCATCCCAGTAGGTATTACTTCTGACACAGCCCAGAGACTCCTTAGGTACCTTACCTCTCCTTCAGGAGTGTCCGAAGGACAAAGCATTCCCCACTGAGATGGCTGGAGAGAGCGAGGACCACTCACTTTTCTTGTTTTTTCAAACTGGGAAGATATTCTCGTCATCATGCCCAGGGCGGATATATATGACAAGCGAGACAGCACTTGGGTCACACCTTGGCGGTCCATTTTAAATCTCTTTAGAGACCAGTTTCCCTGTAGAAAGATGAAAGACATAAGACTATCCCTAACCCATTCACATGTTGCCTGATAGTGTACAGTCACTCTGAGAAGTTCATCATAGGAACTGATTGCTTATAAAATTAGAGCCATGATATACATTCGTAACTCAAAATGTCATAATTAAAATTAAAATTTAGCCAGGTCACTCACTGGGGTTTTCTAAAACTATAACGAATATTAGCTACGTCTAGCAACCACCTCACAATGCTTTGCTGCATCAACCATATCACATCTGAGCGGTTGTCATCTGAGGAACTAAGTATATACTGAATAAGCCAGTTCAACCAGAGATTTCCACTAGAAGTAATAAGCTAACTGATAAAACACTAGCAATTTCTATACACATTTAAGGTAAAACTAGTTTGAAGCTCAAAGAGATGATTTCATGTTGCAACGTGCTATTATTTGGATGTCTTCCAAAGTTAGTCTTAAGCAGAGGAAAATATAGCAACAGAAAAATAACTCTGACAGCAGTTATTAGGGATAATGAATAAACTGTAGGCTTCTTAATGGAGCCTCAAGGAATCTAAAAATTGTATATATATTCATATTAACTGGCAGCAATGCAAAGCAGTACACTTTGGCAATTCACATAAAAGTCTTTAAAATGTATATACCCTTTTCCCCAGAGGAATTTATTCTAAGGTAA